TTCCTTTACCTAAGCTAGGATTTAGTATCAATCTCTTTTTAACTCCTCAAGAATGGAAAACCCTGAGAATTGGAGCCAGAATGGAACTGGGTGAATGGCCTTTCCTATATAGCACTTTCCACTGTAATCTCATAAAGCAAGATGTGTGGATATCCATTGTAGCTTTCACAAATCTCCTTAAAATAAATATACAATGTCTTAGAAGAAAAGCAAGAATCTCAGATGCAGCCCTATTAAGGTTCTCCAAAATGTCTTTGTTTCTGACAATAACAGCACCACCAGCTAAGAATCTGAATAACTTGCATAGCCAGCCAGGGTTGATCCAGGTAGTTTTGCTGCTGAATAATGATTGGGACTGTTTCTTTAAAGTAATCATATTTACTTGGTGCAATTTTTGGCAAAATATGTGATGTCAGGCAGTGACAGGCAATTTGGATTTAAATTTTGCAAACTTTCTTGAATGCCCCCTTGTTTGCTAAGATGTCAGCTGCAAGATTAGTGGAGCTGGGTGGGGGAGAGCCATGCATTCACATTGGCCCTATGTCTATTTCTACTGTGAAAGGAACTGGCTGGAGAGTGTTGCAAACACTTGAAGCTATGCGTTCTGCATTACAATGAAATGTGCTGTATTGCACAATACCCGTAGCTTTCCTCATCTCCCTTTAAGGGCACCATAACCAGACCCCCTGGCAGGAATTCTAGAGCAGCAAATGACAACTATTAGGATATGCCAAGCATTAGAAAAATTACATTAAAATGGACTTCTTGAAGTCTGAATCTTCTCAAACTTTACTTGGTAATTAATTTGTAAGACTGAAGACTACACACATTTTAAAAACACAAAAAGGAAAATTTATCACAATTAAAACAACAGAAACCCAACACATGCCTATGTCAAAAGCACACTGCCGGATAATACCAAACAATTTAAATATGCAAAGGTCCAGTGGCTTCAAGATAGGGCCATTTAATTTACTTTGGATCTACCTGAGGGCAAGCAATATTCATAGTTAAATTTCTTTACTGAGTGTTGTAGTTAATACAAATATGGGACCATTTGGCTGTGCTGCAGAGACTGCTGAAAGCCTCATAACACCTTTCAGCAAATCTATTTTCCAAAACCCAGCAAATATTATTCATTGAAGGACAAATAAAATAGATCAAAATTACTTAGCATTTTAGAAACAAATAAGGTTTAGTGGTCATTAATAAAGGGGAGTCCTATTCATACAACAAGGATGTTTGTTCTAATATGTTCATAGAAGCATTATTTGTAATAGCCAGAATCTGGAAGCAACCTAGATGCCCCTTGACTGAAGAGTGGATAGAGAAAATGTGGTACATTTACACAATGGAGTACTACTCAGCAGAAGAAAAACAATGGAATATTGAAATTTGCGGGCAAATGGATGGCATTAGAAGAAACCATCCTGAGTGAGGTAACCCAGTCACAAACAAACAAACAAACAGTGTATGTACTCACTCCTATATGGATTTTAGACATGGAACAGAGGAGTGCTAGCCTACAATCTCACTGCCAGAGAGTCTGAGAAACAGGGAGAACCCTAAGAGAGATATGCATGGTACCCCAGAGAAAGGGAATGGGACAGAATCTCCTGAGTGGGTTGGGAGCATGGGGGGAGGGGAAAGGGAGCTGAGAAAAAGAGTGGAGCAGAAGAGAGGAGGACATGGGGGAGCAGGAAGGTTGAGTCTGGCAAAGAATAGAGAAGAGCAAGACGAGAGATGACATAACAGAAGGAGTCATTATAGGTTTGAGGAGAAATCTGGCCCTAGTGAGATTTCCAGAGATCTACAAGGATGACACCAACCGGCAATCTAAGCAATAGTGGAGATGCTACCTTAAATGCCCTTCCCAGATAATGAGATTGATGACTAGCTTATGTGCCATCCTAGAGCCTTCATCCAGTGGCTGATGGAGACAGAGGCAGACACCTACAGCTAAACACTGAACAGAACTTCCAGAACCCAGTTGCAAAGAGGGAGGAGTGATGAGGAAAGGGGTCCAGACTGGGATGGTGAAACCCACAGTAACTGCTGACCTGAACAAAGGGGAGCTCATGGACCCCCAGAATGATGACTGAGAGGCCAGCATGGGACTGATCCAGACCCCTTAAATTTGGGTGTCAGTGTGGAGGCCTCAGCAATCTATGGGGCCTTGGGTAGTAGATCAGCATTTACCCCTGACAAAACAAATGGGCTTTGGGAACCCATTCTACATGGAGGGATGCTCTGTCAGCCTGAACACATGGGGGAGGGCCTAGGCCCTGCCCGGGATGATATGACAGACTTTGGAGATCCCCCATGGAGGACCTCACCCTCCCTGTGGAGTGGAGTGAGGATTGAGTGGGGTCTTGGTGGCACTGGATGGCAGAGGAGGGGAGGGTGAGGGAACTGGGAATGACATGTGAAGCCAGCTTGTTTCTAATTTAAATAAAAAAGATAACCCTTCTTAAAAAATAAATAAATAAATAAATAAGGGTGAGTCCTTTTTTCATGTGATTTGATCTTAAATTCCAAATTGACTGAGAAGTTTTTTTCTCTCTCTCGCTGAAGTATTTTAAAGAAAGTGAAATATACGTAGAGCATATTTCAATGTTTATAGAGTTTGATGGCAAATTATTTCTTACTTGGCTCCTAGCGTGTACAAATGTGTTTTCTTCTGGCTTCAGTAATACTACCCTAAGGCACTTGGTAATCACTATACTTTATGATACTTTGTATATATTTTTTGTTTATAGGGAAGTTTAACTTTTCAAGAATCACCTACACTGAGCTTGGCAAGTAAAAGTACACTAAATGTCTGTAGGATAAAGGAAAGGAAACTTGGGTGCCATGTATGTACTCTTGAATGAAAGGAGCTGCTGCACTATGGAAAGTAGAGGAGATATGGAGATTTGCCTTCTGCTACCTTGATTTTGCTATCTAGTAACCTTCTACTATGGAACCTGTACTGTAGTGACAGTGTCCACTTGGTAGGATCTGTACTATAGTGGCAGTGCACATCTGTACAGTAGCAATTGCATACATCTGTTCAGCAGCAACAGTGCACATTTGTACTGCAGGAATGGTGACTCTTGGGAGAAGCAATAGGTGCTATGACAAGAAGTCTCTAGAGAGGAAACAAATGAAAAGAGGTAGAACAAGCAACAGGAAAAGTTAGAGCAGAAAGCCAAATTCAATTCTTTACATTTTCTCCCTTGCATTCCCCATAACTCTCCCCTTATTTTCATAAAAGGTAAGATAGAAGGTATGAAAAGAGGGAAATTCAACAAGTAGCAGTGATCATATTGTGAGTATCTTTGTGACAACAATTTATAATTTAACATATGGGCTGCTGACACATAGCTTCCCAATTTATAGACAGTAATTTTAGACTATAATTTTGCATTCTAAAGTAATTGAGAAATTAGAATTTTTTAGAAATAAGGAAGTTATTGTTAAACCTTGAGAAATTATACTTTTCCTAAATGAACACAGTTAAAAGGTCTCAAACTCTCAATGTGATACATTTGGCAAAGAATAGGCCTTGTCATGGAACCTCAATGTGGGTTTGCCCATTATGAAACTGCTTCCAGGGCAGATCTTTGGGGATTTTAATGAATGGCCCTTAATTGCCTGAGGCTGACCCATTTACCCAGAATCCATTCACCAAATATATTTTTTCAAGACTTGTCATTTCTCCCACATCTGCAATAAAGATGTTAACACACACACACACACACACACACACAAACACACGCACACACACACACACACGTTCTTATGTGTCAAAAACTAAATATGAATGGAAAGACTAATTATTGAATTTAAAATGACTGGTTGGCAATCAATAGAATCTATACCTGAAATACAGTCATCATTGATGTTTAAAGCCTTGTTAGCATAGAAGAAATAAATTCAGATGAACTTAAAACTCAGAAAACTAGCACTTTGCCTTTTATTGTTAAAAATATACAACTCAAGAATGGACACTGTAGTCTTGCATGTTCAGGGATCCCATGGAGGTCAAGGACAGGATTCCTTTGTCCACCTGACACTGATATTTAAAATCCCATCCGGTCATGGGTGGTTATTTCCCAGTGCCCTATCTCAGGAGCTTCAGCAATGCCAAGAACACATTTCAGTTCTTTCCCAGTGCTGAGGTGGGCTACAGAGCAGAGCATAAGAGAGGAGCTGAGGGTTGAAGAGAACATGAGAACACATTGCTTATCATCATCACATTCAGCAGGGATCTGCTAGAAATTCCAGTGCTCCTTTGTCTGTCTTCCAAAACCATTGAGAGTCTTGTCAGAACAACAATTATGTTACTATTTCTTTGCTAAATTTTGTGGGGTGGGGCCTCATATAAAATATTTGAAAGTTTTAAGAAAGTAATCAGTAGGTGAGTGAATCATGTATTTATAATAATGGCTATCATTACTTGAGACTGATCTTTGGGAAAGGGAACATGACTTCATACTGTAACAAGTATAAGTAAAATGAAAATTCAGTGCCTTGGCTTTAGTGCCTTTTTCATGATCAAAGTCCTCTCCGGGTAAGTGGTGTTCCCCTGTTGCAACTTAATTGCCATTCCCAAATCCAACCCTTCTGGAAGACAACACTGATTCTGAGACAAATGACACTCCCTCAGAAGGAAGGCATGGGGGTACATGTGTGAGAGTTAGATTTCAAGGTGCACAGTGGTGGAGGATAACAAGGTTGAGAGAAAGGAAGGTAGAAGAAAGAAAAGGCTAGATGACAGTAAGAGAGAATCCATTTAAATCAAGGCTGGATCACATTATTACCTGACAATCCAGTGTTGTGAAAGATTTTACATACAAATGAGCCACATACAATCATTTTGGTTAGAAAAGGGAAAAGATCAAGGGGATTTCCTCAAGCAGGGAAAGGTGGCATAAATATAGAAATAAAGTAAATATTGGCTAAGTGGGTTTTTCATTCAACTTGCTGATGATTGAACATGATTTCTTCTGACTCAGCTCCTGTATGGAGTTAGTGGCAACCCTCTCAGATCCTGCGGCCGAACTGACATTGTTGGAACAAACACCAAGCTTCAGAACTTGAATGGAACACAATCAGGTAACTGTTGACTGCACCATATTATTGTCAAAATTTTAGAAAACATACCTTATCCTTTATAGATGTCTGTAGTCCAGGCAAAGATAAAAGGGAGTAACTAGTGTCAGATGTCTATGGGTGAAGAGGAAACAGTGAAGAATTGAGAGGCAGCGGGGTACGGGGCAGCTACTAATGAAGAAGAAGGAACTCAGAGTATTGTTCAGGGGTCAGAAACAGCAGAAAAAGAAGACTCTTACAACAAAATGTAGTGACATAACCTGACTTCATGGCTATGGTAAAAATGGGAAGTAGACTTTGCACCTGGTAGCTCAATACAGGCTTGTCTGTTACTTTTCTTTCTCCTAAAATGTCACATCGCTTTTACTATTTTTTTAATTCTTTGCCTATAGACAGACAATTGGCCAAGAAGATGGAGAACAAGAAATTTTCTTAGAACATCCTGGTTATGATTTGTAAGCTTCTGATCTTGACTCTCATGGAGAACAGGAGCCAGGGAAGTGCTCTGATGGAATAAAATACCTTCATTCCCATTGAAATCCTCAGAACCTAGTCATCTCTAAAACATGTGGTCACAAAATAACAACACTTAAACTTCTTAACTATTATGTTTGTAATATAACTAATAGTTCAGTTAAAATTCTCATTTCTAAGTAAGTCAAATTGTTACACTTTTGCATCTATTTTATTTATATTCAAAACAGAAGATGATCAGCTTCCTTGTGAATTAAGTTAACTGATAATTTTCAAATTTATATGTGTAGATATTTTGTTTGCTTGTATGTCTTTGAACTACCTGTCTGCCTGATCCCAGCAGATGACTGAAGAGATTGTCAGATCCCCTGGAACTAGTGTTTCAGATGGTTCTTAGCCATCATGTAGGTGCTGGGAATACAACTGGGTTCTGTGGAAGGAAATTCAATTATCTGAATCACTGAGCAATCTCTCTATGATCCATTAATTAATCTTGAGACTTGCTTTCAGTCTATAGTACAATCTTGCCTGGAAGTCACTTTATAGCTCTGTCACTTTGGACTTACGGCAATCCCTGTGTCTTAGCCTCCTAACTGCTGAGATTCTAGGCTTGAGCTACCATGAACAGTGTTGCTTTGTTATTTTAGGATGAAATGAAATGAATGTCAATTATAACACAAAGCAGTACCAAGATAACACAATGAAAAAAATTATCAGTATTTTTCCATAACATTTTTTTTATTTTTATTATTGTTAATTGTTATTATTTTCTTTATTTATTTTCATCCTGACCACAATTTCTCTTCTCTCCTCTCCTCTCAGTCAGTCCTTCCCCACACCTCTCTCTGGTCCCCAATCCTTTCTTACTCCATTTGTATTCAAAAAAGTGCAGGCCTCCCATGAATCTCAGCAAAACATACATCATGCTGCCACAAGACTAAGAAACTCTCTTACCCCTTTTATTAAGGCTGGACAAGGCAATCCAATATAAGGAAGGAGGTCCCAAAAGTTGGCAAAAGACTCAAAGACAGCCCTGCTCCAACTGTTAGGAGTCCCACAAGAAAACCAAGTGACACAACTGTCCCATATATGCAGAGGGCCTGGGTCCATCCCACCCAGGCTCCCTTGTTATTGGTTCAATTTCAGTGAGCTACTATGAGCTTTGTTAGTTGATTCTGTGAGTTTTCTTGCGGTGCCCTTAACCCTTCTGGCTCCTACACTTCTTCCTCCCTCTCTTCGGCAGGATTCTATTAGCTCTGCCTAATGTTTGGCTGTGCGTCTCTACATCTGTTTCCATCAGTTGCTGGATGAAACTTCCATAGCATTTTCAATGTATGATAGGTGTACAACTTCCTATTTATATAAGCATGGACAGACATGTCTATGAATGCACATTTTTGGGTTCTGTGAAACTGATAGCACATTATGCAAATTTTTTGACATGTGGTTTTATTTTAATGTAATAGTAACAAGCCATGAACCATGGTTAGAAATAGACATAGCACATGTGTTGTAGAATATTAGTTTAAGATGTGTTGCATTAGTTTATGCTGTGGAAAACTTGTTTAATGATGCAAAGGATGTTATTTTATGTTGCATTTGTTTAATTCTGTGAAACTGTGTTACTTTGCCTGTCTAAAACACCTGTTGGTATAATAAAGAGCTGAACATCCAATAGTAAGGCAGGAGAAAGGATTGGCAGGGTTGTCAGATAGAATAAATAGGAGGAGAAAACTAGGGAAAGAGAAGGAGAGGAAGACATAAGGGGGGCAGCAACCCAGCCACACAACAGCCATGGAGTAAGAAGGAAAGAAAGATTTTATATATATGCATATATATACACACACATATATATATGGTAAAAAAACAAGAAGTAAAATGTAATTAAAGAGAATCAGGATAATTTTAAATTAGAAATGTTGACTAGAAACAAGTCAAGGTAAGGCCTGACATTCACAAGTAGTAATAAGTCTACATGTATTTATTTGGGAACTTAGTGTAGGGTTCCCAAAGAAAAAGCAAAACTACACACATGACACTCATAAAGGCAAAATAAATAATATTTTACAGATAGATGAACCATCTATTAAACCATTTTCCAACTGTGTAGTCAGATTTTCTGTCATTATGACTAATATACCCACCCTTCCAACAACAGCAACAGCAAAAAACTTAGAATAAAGGTTTATTCTGGTCATTGCTTTCTGTAGTTCCAATGTATCATTGCAGACGTAGTGTGGCATAGCCCAGTGATTCATATAATGACATCAGAAAAGTAAAATGTGCGGATATCCATATCGCCAGGTTTTCCCGATTTCCCCTTTTTACTCTATCCAGGTCTCAGTCTAGGGTTGGTGCCTTTGGAATTCAACACAGGTCTCATCATCTTAGATAATCCTCTGTGTAAAGGTCCTCAGTGAGATAACCAGGGGTGTAACATGAATAATAAAATCCCAGGGACTGATATTGGGGTTCAAGCTGAAAATCAGAGAAGCAAAGCAACTGGCCACTGTCTCTTACCTCTACTTCAGGCTGAAAGGGCTATCCTGTCCTCAGCATGGCAGGAGAATAAATGTCTGAGACTGAATACTGAATGCCCTACTCCTATTTTATATTCCCCTTTAGAGCTGGGATTAAAGGCGTGGGATCCCAAGTACTGAAATATCCTTTGTGTGAGCTCTTTCTCTTTTGGACTGATTCACTCTAATGTGAGCCTGGGTGGTCTTTAATTTACAGGAATCTGTCTTTGTCTCCTGAGTCCTGGAATGAAAGGTGTGTACTACCACCAACTGACTTCTATGACTAATTAATGTGGGTGCTGGGATAAAAGGTGTGTATCAACACTGCCTGGCTCTATGACTGTGGCTAGCTATGCATTTTGATCTCTAATTGTTTTATTAAATCATAGACAATATATCACCACATAAGGGCATGTTTAGTTTACTTCCTGTCCATCTCCCAATCTTGGTGAAAATCTCTATGTTAGCAATCAGAATAAACCATCATTCTCTGATATGAATATTTAAAGATTTCAAAGCTTTCTATAAAAGTGATATGCGAATCCTCTGCAAATATTTTCAGCTTTTTTCTGCTACCTATTGGATTTAAATAAAAAAGTAACCTCAATAGATATGGTAGTATGAGTGTATAAAGTAGGATGTTGGTTTTGACATTCTGTTGTAAAATAAAGTATAAACTGAAAATATACATTATTGAAGAATCATTTGTGGAGACATAGACCTACTGTATAAAATTTGGCAGGTAAGCAAAATATTGGACTTTTGTAGTTCAAGTTCACTAATAAAGCCAGGTGCATTGGAGCTAAGTTAGCTGTCATGGATTGGAAATGCAGCTTCTTGTCTATCACGGATAGTGGGGAATGAATAATGGAATCTAAGTCTTCTTATATAATAGAAAGGCACGCACTGTATTATAGTCTGAATATGAAACCCTTTCCACAGGCTCATATGTGTGAACAAATAGTTCCTGATATTGGTGCTATTTGGGGAGGCTGTGGAATCTTTTGAAGTGGGGAATTAGCTGGAAGAAATGGATCAGTAGCTGGACCGAGACTTAGGGTTGTAGCTCTGGTTCTAAACATGAGCTCTCTGCTTCTTAGTTTGCTAAGATTCAAGGAATCCCAGGCACAAGGTTTTGCAACCACAAATGTTGCCATGTCTTCCTCCCCACCATGGACTACAACCTGTCATATTGTGAGCCAAAATAAATAATTCCTTCTTTAAGATGTGTTAGTGACAAGAAAAGCAACTATTATGCTCTGATTGCTGAACACTCAAAAGCCCACATTTTTAACATAGGCAAAGAGGACCCATGAGGAAATGATTCATATATAATATGGGTCCTTATATTTTAATGGACTTCAGACTTAATGTCCAAGAATACATACATAGAAACCTTTCAGAAGCAAAGCCTCAAGAACCAGTACATATGGATTAGAGATTTATTCCTAGATTTGACACCTCAGCAGCCACACACATTCAAAACGAACAGCTAGCAATATAGACTCCTCATCTCCTTAATATCCTGTATTCTGTAAGGAAAAAACTCTGAAAGTTAATTAGAAAGTTAATTAGAACAGAGAACCAACTGGAGGTAAAGTGAGACATATATTCACTCTGCATTACAGATCTGCTATGATAAAATACTATGTTTCTGAAAAAGAAAAACACCCAAAGTGGCAAATTACTCAGTGATAACAGTAGTAGTTGGTATTCAATGTTGTCTTTTGGTTGATGATCTCATTTCTAATGTATTTTCTTCTTTGTTTTCCTGAACTCAATAAGTAGGAGTAGGTGGCATTTATTAACATCTCTCTTTCTGTACCATGGTAAAAAAATGTGATGACAAATCTTTTTCCCCCCGCTTAATATTATTTTATTTAAATTGAATACAATCTTATTTTACATATCAATACCAGTTCCTTCTCTCTCCAATCCACCCATGCCTCCCTAAAACCTCCTCTACATGCCCCCATATTCTATTCATTCCCCAAGGAGAGTGAGGCCTCTCCTGGGGGATCATCAAAATCTGTCACATGTTTTGGGGCAGGGCCTAGACCCTTCTCAGTGTATTTAGGTTGAGAGAGTATCCCTCCTTAGAGGAATGGAATTCCAAAGTCTGTTTGTGCACAAGGACTAAATACTGGTTCTACTGCAAGAGGCCCCATAGACTGCCCAGGCCTCCTATCTGTCACCCAAATTCAAGAGTCCTTGTTTGGTCCTATGCTGGTTTCCCAGCTATCTTGCTGGGGTCCATGAGCTCCCAATTGCTCAGGTCATCTGTTGTTGTGGGTTTCCCCAGCATAGTCTTGACCCCTTTGCTCATCACTCCTCCATCTCTAGAATTGGATTCCAGTGCTAAGCTCAGTGCTTAGCTGTGAATTTCTGCTTCTGCTTCCATCAGCTACTGGGTGAAGGCCCTAGGATGGCATTTAAGGTTAACAATCTTATTATAGGGAAAGGGCATTTAAGGTAGCCCCTCCACTATTGCTTAGATTCTTATTTGGGGGTCATCTTTGTGGATTTCTGAACCTTCCCATAGCGCCTAATTTATCTTTAAACATATAATGGCTCTCTCTATTAAGGGATTTCTTTTCTTGCTCTCCTTTATTCATCCCCAGGCTCAATCTTCCTGATCACTCACTGTCTCCTCTCCTTTCCCCTTCTCCCCTCCCTCCTTCCCTCCTTCTGCCTACTCTTTTCCCCTCCCCTTGTGTTTCCAGTTTGTTCAGGATATCTTGTCACTTTCCCCTTCTCTGGGGGAATATATATTTTGTTCTTAGGGTCCTCTTTGTTTCTTAGCTTCTCTGGAAGTGTGGATTGTAGGCAGGTACTTCTTTGCTCTATGGCTAATATCCATATATGAGTGAGTACATACCACATTTGACTTTTTGTGACTGGGTTACATCATTCAGGATGGTTTCCTCTTGATCCATCCATTTGCCTGTGAATTTCAACATTTCATTGTTTTTATCCACAATTCCATTGTGTAAACATACCACATTTTCTTTATCCATTCTTCAGTTGAGGGGCATCTAGGTTTTTTTCAGGTTCTACTATTACAAATATTGCTGCTATGAACATAGTTGAACAGATGTCCTTGCTGTATGAATGTGCAACCTTTGGGTATATGTCTAAGAATGGAAATGCTGAATCATGAGGCATATTGATTTTCATTTTTCTGAGAAACCGTGATACTGATTTCAAAGTGGCTGTACAAGTTTTCACTACCACCAGCAAAGGAGGAATGCTCCCCTTTCTCACATCATCTCCAGCATAAACAGTCATTGGTGTTTTTTATTTTAGCCATTCTGACAGGTGTGAGATGGTATCTCAGAGTTGTTTTGATTTGCATTTCCCTGATGGGTAAGAATGTTGAGCAATTTTTTAAGTGTCTTCAGCCCTTTTAGATAATTCTATTGAGAAATCTCTATTTAGTTCTGTACCCCACTTTTTAATTGGATTATTTGGTGTTTTGGTGACTGGCTTCTTGAGTTCTTTGTATATTTTGGAAACCAGCCTTCTGTCAAATGTGGGGTTGGTGAAGATCATTTGTTGACTGTGTCCTTTACCTTACAGAAGTTGCTTAGTTTCAGGAAGTGCATTTATTAATTGTTCATCTCAGTGTCTGTGCTAATGGAGTTATGTTCACAGGAGTTAGTCTCCTATACCAATTCCTTCAAGGTAGCTCCCACTTTCTCTTCTAGGAGGTTAATTATGGCTGGATTTATGTTGAGTTCTTTGATTCATTTGAACTTAGTTTTGCGCATGGTGATAGACATGGACCTATTTGCAATCTTCTACATGTTAGCATCTAGGTATGCCACCCCCATTTGTTTAAAATGCTTTCTATACTTTTAGCTTCTTTGTAAAAAATCAGGTTTTCGTAGGTGCATAGATTAATATCAGGGCTTTCAATCGGATTCCACTGGTCTGCCTGTCTGTTTTTGTGTCAATACCAAGCTGTTTTCAGTACTATAGTTTGATGTCTGGAATGATGATGCCTCTGCAAGTTCAGGGTTGTTTTGGCTATCCTAGGT